CAACTGGAAAAAGCCAATAGAGCCACTTTCAACACGGCAAAGAATAGTGGCGGATGCAAAGCGATTATTCTAAGTTAACTTTCTAACACATCTAAATAGCGTGTTAACTTTACAAAACGGAAGAAAAGTAGAGGTTTGGGAAACGAAGAAATATAAGCGTTTTAAATAGATAATTCTTTAGTGTTAGGAGAGAAAAGAAGTGCCAGAAGGTAACGAAATAGTGAGAGGAAGGTCTGGTGAACGGGGGAAGACGACAGAGGGCATAAATTCGAAAGATTGACCGCCCCCCCCCCCCAAGTTATAAAAGAATGCGGAAACAGGGGCGAGTCCCTCGCACGGATGAACATGAAGGAAGAGACGAATATTGGAATGGAGTAGACGACAACCGCAGAGAGCAGGCAGAAATTCCGCGAAGAAAAGGCTGAAAAATCCTCATTTTTAAGTCGTGTCCGACGAGCTGGAAGAAAATGAGAAGCTCTTGGAAAACGGAACACATTCCAGAATAGGGATCAAAGTAATATGAAAGAACAAGGAGAGAGACTGAGCAAGTGAGATTGATCTGAACATAGCGCTGCAAATGAGCAACACAAAACGAACAGTGCGGTAACTGCTCCTGGTTGAATGTCTTCATGGGGTTTCTCATTTCCCCTATCAAGGCTTTTAAAGAAGACTGAAGCGTTTTTCGTCATTATAATCAAAACGCAGAGTGCTGCAGGATTTTAAAAATACTTGGGTTGCAACGGAGCGTAGCGCTACGACATGACCTCCGGTATAGCTACACACATCTTCTTACTTAGGACCGTTAAAGTGTTTCTCAATAAATTAAAACCGAATTTGAGCAACTGAAACACACAGAATGTGAATGATCAAAATATAACCCCCACCTCGAAGGGGCCAGACAGACATTAAAACCTATAAATTTTAACAATACGGCTTTCTAAATGAACCCCTATCTTATCATACACAGAAAATAATAATAATAATAATGATAACTTCATCTTTACCTAATAATAATAAAATATGAGATAAAAATCAATATTTAGAAGAAAATTCAATTCTGTTGTCCACAGCAAACACGTATAGACCTACCACATTTGTACCTACAAATACATAATGCACGTCTGTATATATTTAATTATTACAACGAATTTTAAATAGGACCGAATTAAATCAATCAAACGTTATAAAAAGCAGTAAGCATGCAATACGAAAAGAAGAAGAGCCGTTTTTTCGACATCAACACGGAGAAACTAATGGCTAATGGCCTGAGGTTCGGCTTTACGTGTTTTCATAAGAGCGTGCTACTGTTGCGCATGTCGAAATGACAGACCTAATTCGTCAGACGCGTTAACTTGAAAATTAGTTACCTGGAGGCCCGCAAAACGAGTAGTTACTGTGACATAAAACCAGAAAACTGGTAACCCTGGCGGATGACGGCTGTGCCTTCTGGTACTGTGAGCGGTACTAGGGCTACACATGGGACACTCAGGGCCAACCTTGATAAAAATCAGTTTTCAGATTCGTACTTTTAAATCCCGCGTCACTTTGCCACACCCCCGCGGCGCCTCATCTCGTACAGCCAAACTTTGCGACCAGCCGACCGAAAATGAGAATGAAGCGTTTCAACCCCCCCCCACCAGCACATTGTGGGCTGGAATAATGAAACATGAGCAGCTTATATCTAGATCGATGGTGAACAAATTTCTGGAGAAAACAAAGAATTCACTTGAGTGTTGAAATATGAAACTAAGATGGATGGACCTTGTCAATATGAGACCTAACCTAACCTAGTTCTTCCTCTGATTGAGTGCTTGCGTCATAAGAAATCTGTAGCAATGCCTCGCCTTCCTTCTCTCTCTTCATCCGTCCGTCCGTCTATACGGCATGGTCAACTCCTGTATCATCGCTCATAGTTTATTTACTCTCAGCTGCTGAAAATGGGGCTGTCGTCTGCAAGAACCCCCCTCCCCCCCTTTCAAACCAACTCCCAGTTTTGACTCCCCCCCTAATACACAGCAGCNNATACTGTCTGACTTGCCATCCAGAGACGCCCCCCCCCCCCCCCCCCCCCAATATCCACTTTTGCCACTTGGGTGGTTGGCAGCGCGGATGGACAGATTGATGGATGAATATATGGAAGGATTACCCTTACTGCGAGCAATTGGCTAAAAGAACCAATATGAACTACTGCTGTAGGTTTAGAGCAAATGGACTGGTCATTATACGCTATTCCCCTAGATTCTTGATTTATTTTGTCGAGTTTTTCAGAACTAGGAGATAAAAATCTTATATTCAGCTACAAAACACTCGGATTCATTTTGATGCATTGGATATACAGCAGAGGTAATTGTGACACTGCATATGGCAGTAACTGAAATTGTAAATTGTGTGAGTGTAGGAGCGAGTGTTCAATAAATTCGCTACATCCAAGACGGCGCGAAGTTATTTGTCGCGTCAAACACCCAACGCGTGACAATATATTAATCCATGTGGGAAAACGTAACATCCTATTGTTAAACAAACCTGCTGTGTACCTTGAAGGAGCCCGGTTCTAACCTATGCCTAAAAGCCTCTTCTGACTGAGTTTCCTGTACTTTCTGTTACTTCCTCCATTACGGGCAGATGTCAGGTCAGTACATTAAGTGTGCGCAATGTCGCATCATTTCACATACCGTATTTACGCATGTATAGGCCGCACATTTTTTGCCAAAAATTCAAGAGGAAAACTGGGGTGCGGCTTATATTCGAAATCACACTTCATTTAAAAAAAATTATATTCATAATTAGTAATACAGGATGTTCTACTCCTGAAATAATATTCCAAGAAAATTATTTTTTCTATAATTTCTGTCTGAAAATTGTGCTGCGGCCTATACACGCACGCGGCCTATACATGCGTAAATACGGTATATCCCAATGCAAAATGCATAATAATTATGTGTAATTTCTCATCTGGAGATATGAAAGCTTTGTAATTGAAACATATTCTTTAAAATCGAACTAACATAATTTGCACGAAAAACGAGACTTAAGTATAAGCAACACAAAATCACGCTTGTCCCGGCTCCCTTCCCCCACCCCTCCCACACCACTGCTTTCACTTGTTTACTTGCAGTTCATCCCCTTCCCTCTCTGCTCAACGGTATGTTCTTTAGTCTGCTTGACCGTGTCTCACGGTGTTGTCGCTTGCAGATTTACTTATACTTCTTCAACCCTGAAGATGGGGGCGATACGTTCCTCCGAAACGTCGGTTAACACCACATATACACGGTGCCAAATCCCAGAAGACTGCTTTCTTCATAGTCACCGCCGTGAAAGCCTCAAATCTTACACATTTGAAAAGGTAGTTTTTATTTTAACGGAAATTTAAGTGTTAACACCCCTACCGCTGTATATCCCGGCATTATCGCGGCGATCGCCAACAGCGTTAACTACCGATGTGGAATCTGGTATGCTGGGACATAGAAATACGCAAGGACCTAATAAGGACCAGAATAAATTATTTCATAAGTCCAGGCCTGGAACATTATAAATGTTCACATTTATTATATCAATATTGAGACATGTCAACGCATTGCCTGGCAACGGTTGGATAAACACCCCATGATACACGCACGTATCAATAGGATGAATGTTTATAGCTCGTTGCTAGGCAACAGTCAGCGCGCCAATTGGGAGACCAAGGAGTAGATATGCAGATAAAGTCATGGGAATCCGTACAAAACACTGATAACTAAGAATCACAGCGAACATACCTGCTGGAATGATGTGGAAGACACAGGGTGCTTTCTGAGCGCCGAGTTCATTGCGTCCCCAGCAGAGAAGCGTGCCGTAATCAAGCTCTGTCATGGGAGTATAAGAGGCCATGCTACGGGCTCGGTCTGTAGTGAAATGTGAAGCAGGAATATCAATGATCTCGGCTGTATTGTTGAATTTCCAGGTGAAGTGGACCGCATCATGTGGGTTCGCTTCCAGCTCGCAGAGGATCTTTGCTGCTTCCTGCCGGGCAACGCCATGGACTTTCTGCTGACCCGGTTTACACACTGGAGCGACTGCCAACAGAGTGCACAGCTCTGGTTACTATGGAGACACTGTACGCACAGTTGTGTGTGTTTGATGGCCGTTTAGGCTCCGATTGCTCTAAAACTTCGTACTCATGTCACTGTACCTACGTATGTATGTATGTACTGTATATATGGATGCATATGTAAGTGTGTATGTGGTAACTGCCCATATGTTTAGGGCAATTTTTACAGGAATATTGTAATAATGGGGTTTGGATTTGATGATTGGGTTTATTGGAACTTCCTCACAATTACAACAATTATAACAGCTCACACATTGAATTCCTGAACGATGCCTGTCTTGCGAATGCTCTAGGAAGAATCTCTCACTGGTAAAAAAGTTTATTAACGCCGTCCAGCGTGATTGATAAATGTTGTGTTTTTTTAATCTTTCATCCTTTACATGTTCCGGTCGGAGCGACCATTCACATTTATCAATCACACTGGACGGCGTTAATAATCTTTTATACCATTACTGGTGTGGCGGACCAGGATGAACCAAGTCAAACTCTCACTGCCTTGAACGACGTCTGTCTGATGAATCCCTTCCGGATCTCTCATTAATCTCGGACTCATCTCTACTACTCTCGAGTTCACGAATGCACTGCCTTTTATAACTGCCACGCGGGCGGGATAGAAGTCACCATGTCGTCACGGGAATGCCTTTGTTAACATTCACTGCCGCTGAAAAAAAGTGTTTACTTAGCAGCTGCCTAACAAGAATGACTACCGTTTCTGCTATTATTCAGGATTTTAGGCAGTCTTTACCTAGCCGTTGCCTAGCAAATGGTCATACTCCGTCAAAATATATTGGAAGAAAATACATGGTCAAGTCTTCCTTTTGTCTCCTGAATTCGAAGATGGTGATCTTAATTAACTACCTCAGGTCATAATTCAGAGCATAACTACTAGGCGAAATAGTTTTGGATGGACGATAACACTGCTACTTTGTAAATATCAATTATTACCAGTTTATGTCACACGGAAATACGATATACCATATGCATACTTTCTAAATTAGAACCATTCTGGCTAAAACCTGAAATATGCACTGACTAAAATATTATTTATATAATATTCACCATTACTGAAGCAATTAAAAAGAGTTCCATCATGCCTTATTTAAAACAAATGATGAGCAAAATCCTTGGCTCAGGTTTCATAGTATATTCTTAATTCTTATGAGCATTTAGTATTGAGCAGGTCACGGTCTAAGGCACGTACTGTCTTCGCTCGCTCGGAAAGCGGGTATCATGGGTTCGAATCCCATATAAGACATGGATGTTTGGTATGTGTATGTGTTGGCCGCGCCATAGCTCATGTGGTTAGTCGCTGGCTTCCCACCGCGGAGACCCAGGTTCGATCCCGGGTCTGGTCAAGTGGGATTTGTGGTGGATAAAGTGGCGCTGGGGCGGGTTTTCTCCGAGTACTTCGGTTTCCCCTGCCAATCTTCATTCCACCAATTGCTCCACAATCAACCTCACCTATCATCTGGGGCTGGTGACCGCAGAAGTGACCGCAGTACAGGTGACTTAGTCCCACCCTACCAGCAATAAAGAAAAAAATTATTGATGCTATATATGTTACGTCCCTGTTCAGCTATAATGGAAGCCAACAGCAATTAAGCAAGACCGGTCACAATTATATTACAAACATGCCACACAACATAAGAAACTTAATCAGTCAGGTGTTTGGAAAAATAATTTAGGTAATAACAACAGACAGATCAGAGAATTAATTCTCATCTCGGACACAACATAATGCAACATAATAAGACACAACGTTCCCACCTCATGACTCGTAGTACGCGGGTTCAAATACCCGGCGGAGGTCGTCGAATTTTTAAGGGCGGAAAAATTCAGGGAATAAGTCCTCCGGGAGGGACTTTAAGCCGTGGGTCCCGTGTCGTAGCTTTACGGCACGTAAAAGAACTCATATCTCCAAAGGAGGTCACTGAGCCAAATTACGGACGTTTCCCGCCCAACAGCAGTTTCTAACACCTCTGGTATATGGGGAAAGCATTATAGATACCTCTCAGCTAGTAGAGCCGGTCTCGCTGGCTGGGCGGGACTGATAGTAAGCACCAGTACCGGTAGGATATAAAGACTGGTAGAAATCATAGCGGGAAGCACAATGGACCAATACAGGTCTAAGTGCATCGGGAAACCCACCTTCTCCAATAACTAACTAACTAACTAACTTACTAACTAATAAGACACAAGCGGTTCTGTTAGTTTACGAGAGCGTGTGTTTTACTGAAACGATAATTTACGAATTTACGTCGATACGAAGAACAAAGTTATATATTACTTAAATACGCATATACATTATTAAAGAAATAAATAATAAAACAAATGCATATAAATTATTATATACTGCAGGAATGCGGTGAACCATTCAAAAGGACACAGATATCGACTTAAATCAATATTAACATAACTTTTTCATAGTTGTATACTTATACTATTTCATGTTTGAGATTCCAGTGCTGTTAAACGTTCAGCAGCCATTTATATTTAAATTAGGATCAAATTTTGATTGTTAAAAAAATTAACGTCCTGAAGTTCAGAAATTTAAATTTAAATTTCCTTCCCTGCACAATCATGTGGTACAGAGGACAACACGAACTTTCCTTGCGGAGTGTACGGAGGAGTACCTGTGGAAGGTCAGGTAACCAGAGCCAACTGCTCATGTAACATGTTTAATGCATGACGCAGCCTCCTGCCACAGTGATACGTTATGCCAGACGCAATGAAAACACGAGCTTTGGTCATCCGTCTAGTGGCTGCACCAACCACGCTGAACTGTTTAACTCACCGTTAACACACAAAACTCGACTAACAAGAGCTGACTTAGTTACTCATAAGGCGATCTCAAAGTGCGCCACATGAAACATAGCACACAGCATCAAGATGGAAGCGTTAAGGTATTTCGAAGACTGCATTTCTCTTACAAGATACTAGAAGTAAAAAGCGAGTCGCGCAATATTCGGAAAGTAGCACTATCAACGGGAAAAATTACTATGCATTTTTATTAATTTATTAATTCAAATAATAATTTAATTTAATTGAACTGGAATTGACATTATTCTACATAAAACTACTTTAGACGGGCAGATACGTAGGCAGATACACATATACATAGATATATAGAAATGTACAGAGATGGGTATACAGAAACAGAATGACAGCAGATAGAGAGACACGGATGCAAACAGGAAGAAATAGATAGACCAATCTATGGGTGGGAGGGTTAATAGATAAATTTACAGTTAATAGGTTGATGGAAGAACAGACAGATACGCCAGCTAGACAAAATAGGCAGACAGATGAATTAAATATAGAAACTGAGGCAAATAAAAATACATAAGTAGACCGAAAAACAGGCAATAAGAAAGACAGAAAACATAAGCACAGAGTGAATAACAAGATCTATCTTGACAACCTGACAGTAGAATGACGATCTGCTATTGCCTGGCGCATGTCACATAACGAGATCACAGACCGTACTGATCAGCAAGTGTCGTTACAGCGATTGTATTAAAAATATGGTGACTATGGCCTTTGGTGTACTTTCAGAATCGCTATTCGAGGAATAATTCGAAAGTGGAGGTAGTTTCGAAACCTACATTGCCTTTTTTCCTTGGCACTACAGCCCCAGTGGGCCTAGGCCTACCTCCATGAACTCCGTTCACTTCGGTTTATTCTAGATCTAACACATTCGGTAGGACTCCTTGGGCGAGTGATCAGCTCGTCGCAAAGTTTCTACCTGTAGACAAACACAGAAAAACGCACACAAACATCCATGCCCTGAGTGGGATTCGAACACACGATCCCGGCTTCCGAGCGATTGAAGACAGTCATTGCCTAACGACTCTCAATTTATCATAATGGTCGACTCATTAACAGCAGGGAATGGTACCCCTCAGTTACTAATTGATGCGCACAAGTCTATTGCGCAAATCTAACCTACACTAACGTAACCTAACCTAAACTAACCTAAACAAACGTAATTCGAACTAACGTAACTCAACCTAACTCAACCTAACCTAGCCTAGCCTCACGTCAAGTCACGTCAAGTCACGCCACGTCACGTCACGTCACTTCATCTCACCTCAACTCACCTCAGCTCACCTCACCTCAACTAACTTAACAGCAGGGAGTGGTACCCCTCAGTTACTGATTGATGCACACAAGACTACTGCGCAAACCTAACCTACCCTAACCTAACCTAACCTAAGCCAACCTAACCCAATCTAACCCAACCTAACCTAACGTACCCTAACCTAACCTAACCTACCCTAACCTAACATAGCCTAACCCAACCTAACTTAACCTAACCTAAACTAGCATAGCCTACCTTAGCCTCGCCTCGCCACGTCTCGCCTCGCCTCACGTCAAGTTAAGTCAAGTCAGGTCAAGTCACGCCAAGTCTCGTCAAATCACGTCAAGTCACGTCACGTCATGTCACGTCACGTCACGTCACGTAACGTAAACTCATATCACCTCACCTCAGCTCACCTCACCTAACTTAACAGCAGGCACAAGTCTACTGCGCAAACGCAACCTAACCTAACCTAATCTAACTTAACCTAATCTAACCTAACCTCCCCTCGACTCGCCCCGTCTCGCTTCGCCTCAAGTCAAGTCACGTCGAGTCACGCCAAGACACGTCAAGTCACGTCAAGTCACGTTAAATCACGCCAATTCACGCCAAGTCACGTCACGTCACCTCACCTCACCTCACTTAACAGCAGGAATGGTACCCCTCATTTACTGATTGAAGTGGATAAGGCTCCTGCGCAAACCTAAACTAACCTAACCTAACTTAACCTATCCTAACCTAACCTAACCTAGCCTAGCCTAGCCTCGCCTCGCCTCACGTCAAGTCACGTCAAGTAACGCAAAGTCACACCAAGTCACGTCAAGTCACCCCAGGTCACGCCAAGTCACGTCAAATCACGTCACGTCACCTCACCTCACCTATCT